GCACAACTTATTACTCCTCAGCCCCTCGATCCCGTCTCCTCCGTCGTGCCCTAGATCTGCGATCAAGCTCCTTTGTTCTCAGCCCTCGATATCGTACACCCCTCCACTCTCCCATTTCTCATTCGTTAGGTGGTGGATCGAAAGGTCCTCCTTCTTTGTGCTCCCTCCTCGCATTTCCTTGAAAATTTTTTGAGAAGTTTGGTGGTGAATCGAAATATTTTCTGAGTTCTCCATATATACGGAGAAGGCACGCAATACACGCAAAATTGTACATTGGATATTCTTTGGTGAACACGGTATATTCTTTCACAAATTCGGTGAACATAGTACATTCTTGAATGAAGATTGGCAGGGTAAATGTCCTTTGGGTTTTACTCTTGATAAAGGAGAAAAAAAATCACTTAATTGATAAAATCAAGAAGAAGATTCATGTTTCACTCTTTAGGTTTCACTCTTGGGTGATAATATTTCTCTCATTTGGGGGGAGAGTTACTATTTTAAAAAATTTCCTCATTTCTCTACCTCTCTACAATATACAAATTATGAAGGTTTTTAATAGTATTATGTAAAAGTTGCAATTGTTGTTTAATCCTCTGGGATGGTAGTGATAAAAACAAAATACATTGGAAAAGGTGGGAACAATTGTGTAGATTTCTTAATTAGGGAGGTTTGGGATTCATAAGTATTGCTGAGACTATGAAAATTTACTTTATTTAGCATTGGTATAGATTTCATATGAATATTTCTATTTGGGCTACTCTTATGAAGGCTAATTATTATTATATGAATCATCCTTTGGTTATTACAGACTCCAAATATTATTCGTTTTATTTGGAGGGAAAAGCTTAATGTTGCTAAATGCGCTGATGGTCTGATTTGTTGGGTTGTTGGCAAAGGAAATTGTTCTTTCTTGCATGAAGATTGTCAGGGTAATGGTGCTTTAGCAATGTTCAATGATGGTCCTCCCAATTTGGTGAACAGGGTATATGCTTTCACCAATTTAAGTGGGAGTTTTGTGCTCTAGACAAACCTCATAATGAAGAGCCTAGCAAAGTGGTTTAAGGCTTATGAATTTCTATCTCAAGAAAGGCTTACACTTGCTTCATTCGAGGATTAAAATTTAAGTGTACGATTTGACTTATCTATAGTATTATGCTTTTTTTAAGGAATATTGCTCGCTGATAAAGGAAGCATCCATTTATCATGTTGTGCATGATGTTGTTATATGAAAGTGAAGCTATGTTTAGGTAGTATTTTGATTTTCTACACGAGGGCACAGAGAAGTAGGTAATGTCAATGCATCATTTTTCTCTTCTCATATTTGCAATAAAATAATAAAAATGATCCACCCTCCCCTCATCAAAATCATCCTCAAGCCAGCTCCTATGCCTTTCCCCACCAGTCGTCTTCTTCACCACCGCCATTAACAGACTGCTCAGATAACTCGACCTCACTAGGCTACAGAAGAACGGAGCCCTCGTCAATGTGTGCATGTGCTCGGGAAACTCTCAGTAATAGAACTCAATATGACACACCGCATTAAAAGCCTCCGCCACCCCCATAACTAGCAGCTGCGGCGCCAACCACAGAACCAAAATTGACACCCCTTTCGACGACTCATCCCTCCTCTTGTTCTACACCACCACCGTCACCACCATCAAAAAAATCGATATCACAAGCGTGATCCCGCCCTCGAGCTTCGTGATCCTATGGGTTACCGGAACGACGACCATGTCATATACGAGATGAATAAAGCTAACCCTGGCATGACGATCGTCCCCACCGAGCCTGGCGGGATCATGAATTGTGGATTGAGATGACAGTTCATTTTCATGGACTGGAGGACGGAGAAGGTCCATTGTTGCCCGAGGGCAACAAAGCAGATGATCCCGGAGGTCCATGTGGGTATGATGCGGATCAAACACTTTACTTCTTTGACTTGTTGGAGGGTGCAGAGCCGTCATGAGCTCGGCGGGGAGGCGCCGGAAGGGGACGTGGTGGCGGCTTTGGATAGGAAGAGGAAGGAGGGGGTGGGCGGGAGAGAGGTGATGGCATGGTGGTTTTGTGAGATGGGGTTTTAGAATGCGGCGGTGGCAGGGGAGGGGGGGGGGAGGCGGCTGTTGCAGAAGGTGTCGACGAAGACTTGAAGGATTCTAGAGAAGACGCTACCTTCGGGGGCGACGTGGACGTATAACGGGGTGCCGAGGAAGAAGAAGGGGAGGGAGAGGAACATTAGGGTTGTGGGAATGGCGAAGCCGTTGGACCAGCTGAGGGAACCTTTGTCTGAGAGGGGAGACCTCAATCAAATGGTTGTGGCAGCTTCGATTGGGTCCAACGAACCTCCAGATGAACACTTGGGCCTTAGTGAAATGTCTAGGTATGATTTCAATCAAGCTCAACTTCAGTTGTTGGTCTAGATCTATGGTAGATGCTGTTTAAGTGGGGGCTTTTATGGGGAATTAACTCCTCTTGCTCTAGTGATGATGTAGGAACAATTAATTAGAGCTTGGTGGACTGTGGAGGGATGTTCTGTTTTGAGCTTGGATTTTGAACTCAAAATTGAGCTCTCACACTAGGAACCAAAAGTGTAAAATAGTGGGCTTGAGCGAAGGAGTTCCTGGAGAGTCTCTAGAATTAATTTGACAGAGGTTCCACAAGAAAATTCAATTGATCTCCTTTAGCCATGGGGAAGATGGTTTAAATAGAAGGGCTTAGGCTTTAGTTGATTTGAAAGTTCAATTTGATGGATTTTAGTTATTTAGTCAATTTGGGGGTATTGGGTTGGACTTGGGTTTAGGTTAGGCTAAGTTTAAGCTAAGCCCACATTGATGGTTCAAAATGGTATATGGGAATGTTATAAAGAGTTTTCAACATAAATTAGGTGTCAATTTTGAGGTTAGGACATTCAATTTGGTGGAATTTGGGTATGTGGCTAAATTGGGGAAAATTTGGGGATTTTGAATTTGGGTTGGAATTGAGTGGAATTGATGCTTGACCAAGGCAAATTGAGGGTTCAATTTGCTGTGTAGGATTGTAATGAAGAGATTGGGATCCAAATTGGGGTAATTGAGTGGGTCATAGGGTTCAATTGGGTGAGATTAGGTCATGTGGCCAAAATTTGTGCTTTTGGTTTGGATTAAAATTGAGCTCAAAGTATGGGTCAATTGGGCATGGATTTGGTTTAAAATGACCTTAATAATGGTGAATTGGAGTTAAGAATTGAAATTGGGGAAAATTGGAGTGAACATTTAGGGTGAATTTGGTGGAATTGGGCCTTTAGGGGCAATTTAGGGATTTTTTTCCAAAATGGTTAAATTGGTCAAATTGGGTCAAATTGGGGTGAGTGGAGTGGTACAAAACGGTTTTGGGGACATTTTGAAGGATTTTGGAATTTTTGGGCTAGGAAGGGTATTTTGGTAATTTTGAAAAGTTTGGGTTGTTTTAGGCAACTTAGGTGGTTTTAAGGGCTTTGAGATGGTTTTTGAACAATTTTGGGTATTTTGGAAATTTTGGTGGATTTTAGAGTTTCAAGAGTATTTTGGTAAATTTGGTAGATTTGGGGGGCAACATGCTAGGTTGGATCTTTAGGTGAAATTGGGGTGTCAACCACCCAATTTCAGCTATGGACCAATGAATCCTTATTTTGGGTCATACATGTATTGGTCTTAGGTAAGCCCCAACCCAGGGCTAGGGGCCTAGGAGTCTCCCAAAAGGTCAAGTGACCAAAGTTGAATAAAGTTAGGATTAAAGTTGTGAGTGAAAGTGGGTGAAAGTGAGTGAGAGAACTAGCTCTAGATCAACACCAGGGTTAACCCTGAGGTCAAGCAGTCCTAAGGGGACTCTCCTTGAGCTCCCCTATAGTGGCCTGAACTACTAAGTGCTAGAGGTTATGACCAATATATGGAACTTCCAGTTGAACAAAGAAGAGTTTGAAATTTTTATTGGTGAGGGTTCTATACTAGTTATCTAAGAGTATTCAACAAGAAGTCCTATGGCTATATAATAGGCTACTAAAGAGAAAGAAATGGACCTCAACCAAAAGTGATGTCAACCAAAAGTTGGATAAATTATTTTTAGAATTTATGAAAATTTTTAAGAAGCTTACAATTAATATTTCATTTATTGAAGCCTTGGAACAAATGTCAAGATATGTGAAGTTTATGAAGGATATTTTTAACAGAAAATGAAGTTCGAAGATAACGAGACTGTTGCACTTAGTGAGAAGTGCAATGCTATAATTCAAGAAAAAACTTCTAGAAAAACTTAAAGATCCTGGTAGCTTCATAATATCATGGACAATAGGAGACATTTTTTATGGAAAAACTTTATGTGGTTTTGAGGTCTTTCTTCCCTCTCCCCAGGGCCTAAAATCTATCCCTAGGATTTCCTATTTGACTCTCTTAGAGGACTAGATTTAGACCCATACCACTTAGAAATTCAAGTCATTTCTTCGCTCTTTGAAGTTTTCACATGGACAATTTTAAATCCTCAATATTCGATTGAGTCGATTGAAGAGCCGACATATTGAAACTCAAATTGAGCTCCTGTTTGATTCACTAGAGTGTTCTTGTTCGATTCGTTCGATAAGCAAACGAGACGAACACAAACAAATTTTTTTGTTCAATTTGTTAAACGAACCAAACACGAACAATGATGTGTTTGTTCGCGTTCGAATCGTTATTGTTCAAAATATTAAAAAAAATAAAATAAATATATATAAAAAATTATGATATTTTAAAAATAATTTTATACTAAAAAAATTTGTTATATTTTAAAAATTAAATCCCTTAAATTATCGTGTATAATAAATTATTAATAATGTTATATTTATATACTATCTAGTAAAATAGATTATTATATATTTATATAATATGAGATATATAATTAATATAATGTATTATATTATTCTCTTTATATATTAATATACAAAACAAGCCTTTTATCTAAACCCTTTTATTAACTAAGGCGGAAGCCCTAAGCCCTAACTCGTGACTGTTCGCCCTACTTTCCCCCGCCGCTCTTTCCAAGCCTTTTATCTAAACCCTTTTATTAACTAAGCCCTAAGCCCTAACCCCAACGCCGCTCTTTCTCCTCTCCAAACCACGCCCTCTTAGTTTCGGCCCTCTTAGTTTTGGCTGCTACTTCGCTCTTTCTCCTTTCAGTTTCGGCTAATCCTTCTCTCAAAATCGTGAAAAGTTTCCTCTCGGTGACTGCGAAAACCATCCTTCTTCTCTTCTCAAAATCGCGACTCTCGGTGGGAGCTTAGGGTTGATTGGTTGTGTTCGTTCTCTAATCTCTACTCTATCTGTCTTCGATAAAGTGTGTTTGTCCTCGGCGAGTCGGCGTTGGATCGACCACTCTCGGTATTCTTGCTTCGGGTGCATGGTTGCTCGATATTCTTGCTTTGTTGCTTGTAAGGCTGTCCTCTTTGAGCATATTTTCTGTAAGATTTCATATTATCTTCAGTTTTGCCTCTTAGCTTAAATTTTGAGAAATTTTTTTAGGTTTATTTAAATTTTTTGAGTGAGACCTAGATTTTGAAGTTTCTGAAATTTCCGTATGAGGCCATGTAGGGCTTTTATGAGTTAATTTTTGTATTATTATTTTTTTTTGCATAAAACATATGTATCTTGTGTCATAAAGGCATAGTTTGGATAAGATCCAATGCATAGTTGGAAGCTAGTTGAATAATACAGTGGTGTGCATGAACCGGGAATGTACTATTATGGATTTGTTGGCTAAGATGGCTTCCTGTAGCGACACACTAATTTATGCTTTTCTTATGGAATATGACATCTTGGATAATGAATCTGCCACAAGTCAAATCTTGTGAATAATACAGAACCCAAATAATGCATGGATAAAAGTTATCTTAATGCGAGGGAGGAGACATCCTCACTTGTCCTTTTTTAAATATCTCTCACTTGTTTGCATCACCGCCAGCTTTAAGGGAGATTTTCCACTCTAATCAAGTAATGTAATTAGATGGAATTGAGGGTGCCTCTGAGTATGAGTTATGTTTTGATTTTTTTGGAGTTTAAGAAGCAAAGAAAAATGTTTAGAGTTCTATTGACCTATCTTTCTTTCACACTTCAAATATCTTACAGTCAAATCTGCGTTGTTTTTTAGAATAATGATAGTTATAATCATGTGATATGGTACTTCATTATTGGTAATATCGAAACTTGTCACAAACAAGTTGTTAGTGAATAGATGATATTTATTTGGGATATTTATTTGAGAAGACACGTTCACTCGTAAGAAATGATGCATATATTGACATGAAAGCTAATTTGTGGCATTGCAGAAATGAGTTAGCAGCTATATGATATATTAATAGTATATTTACTTATGTGGAACCATACAATGGTTATATTGTCTACATATGGGCTGTTTTGAACACTGTTTTGGAAATATTAAAACATTGTTTTAGGGCTATTTTGAGCATTGTTTTGGAGACACTAAAAGCATCATTTTAGAGTTGTTTTGTGCCCTGTTTTGCAGAAATTAAAAACATCATTTTAGGGCTATTTTGTGCACTATTTTGTAGATATTAAAAAGCATCATTTGGTCGCATTAAATTAAAAACATCATAATGCGACCAAATGAGATTGTCGACCACTTCCGTAATTGATTTTCTTGTTTTTTTTCGAATACCGGTAAGCCTTTCCCCCCTCTTTTTCAACTATATATATCCCATTTGAGGATAGATTCGGGGTTTGTGATTTCTTTGAGGAATTTCAGAGTTCTAGTTGTTATTTTCGAGGTTATCCGGGGTTGGTGATTTCTTTGAGGAATTTCAGAGTTCTTGCTGTTATTTTCGAGGTTATTCGGAATCCGGGGTTGGTGTTTTCTTTGAGGAATTTCAGAGTTCTTGCTGTTAATTTTGAGGTTCTCTGGAGGTTAGATTTTAATATTTCTTATTATTTTTCTTCCTCTTTCCTTGAGTTTTTTTTAGGGCTTTTCATCAAGCCTTTCAAGTGAGAATCATATTTTTATATTCATTCGTTTCTGTGGATCGAATATGAAATATTTTATATCATATGTAAAATTTTTTTACTTGTTCATAAGGGTTATATTCTTTGAATCTAAATTTGCTTATAGTTTTAAATTGATTCATAATTTGAAATGCTGCTTGAAATTATAGATTATAATCGTATGCTCGATCCTGATTAAATAAATGGTTATATACTGGTTCAAGTTCTTATAATAAGCTTAAATTTTTTTCCTTTCATTTGAAATTTGATATGAGCTAAATGAAATGCAAATTCCCTTTCAAAATATAAAACCCAACCATGCTTCAGTTTATGGAAAAATTTCGGTTCAGTTATTTGGATTGTACTTTATTTGATGATATTTCCTCAAAGATACTATGCATTTCTTATGAGTAAATAAAGGGAAGCAAGTGGAGTTTACTGAAAGCAGTTAATAGAATATTTGTTTCTTTTGTTATTCTAAAATTTCTCTCTTATGTCTGCTTGCATCTTTATGGATTAAGAAGGAATTTTCTTATGGATGTAGTTGAGAATGACTTTAGTATACTACTAATGGTTTTTGGCATCTTCTTGTATTGTTTCAATGATTGATTTAAAATGTTACTTAACATGTCGCATAAGCTAAAATTGATAATTGTCATTTTTCCTAGAATTTTTAAAAGTATTTTCCTCTTGGAATTGGGGTTTTAGTTTTTTGATGCTGAAATGACTTAGATGCATGCACTTTATCCGTCATGGCTGGTTTATTTGCTATTATTGCTTGTTGGCGTATTTCCCTTACTTGATGTTATGCTCTAGTGTTGCTCTAGTGTGGTGTTTTGCTTTCATGCCTACATCTTTATTTGAAAGGTTTGATCGTGAAATGTTTGTGTGCAAAACATTTGACCATTAATTTCTTTTCGAGGTATCTACATTAATTAGTTGTTTTTTTTTAATTTTTTTCTATTAGATTTTTTATACTGCACGTTCGATGAATATGTTATTGATTCTCAACATGTATTTGTTTTGTTCTTCTTCTTTACAAGGATTTGTAACTGCTATTATAAATTAGAACGGACTCTTTGACATATTATCAATTGCAGGACCTCAGAATAATTCCTCCTAAACAATTCAGAACATTGCACACTCAGTTTCAAATATAATTCTGTGATTTCCTTCAAGTAAAAGTAACAGCATTGAGTTTAGCGGGCTAGAGCTTCAAATGTTTCATCCAGTCAGAGAGGGTGTTGTATATGACCTTTGGACTGATGGACTTATATGCGATTTTGAGTTTGTTCGAGGATCCAATCGTATGTCTAATAGCCACTGGGTTCCTATTGGATGGGCAAGGATTTCAGAACTAGCGAAGATTGCCGAAAATTATGCTGAATGGTCTTCGCAACAAATTGATTTGAACGAGGATGAAGATGATATTACCGTTTCTGGTGTTGTTGCTCGACCTATATGATGGTGTCACGTATTTGCGGGGCATTCCTCTATTTGTGCATGGCTCAGTAATGCTCACTGGCTATATCCAACTGTTAGTATTTGTTTGAGAGATGAAAGCAAACATTGTAGTGATTGTATGGATCACTTTGGTTTTGAGGTGAGTTCTAATGTTTGATTTTTTTTTCATGTTAGTGCCACATTTTCTATTTTATTGACTTGTTTCTTGAAAATGTTGTTACATTCCATTATTGTAGGGCTTGGTATGTTTAATGAATGTGAGCTTTTTGTATTTTAAAATGAATTGTGAATATTATTAATCATGATATTTTAGTCGTGAAATAAATATTTTTCTAGTGATATCTATTTGAGAGTTAGGGTAGTGCAAATATTTCTTTTTTGATGTTGAGAGATAACCTTAGATTGTGTATAATTCACATATGAATTAACCTTGTTCAATTTGAATATTTAAACCTTTTTAAATTCGGTTTAATTGATAACCTTATATATATATAAAAGATGTTTTCGTTTCTCTTTTCACTAAGTATGAATAGTTTTTCAGGTTCCTGTCAGAATGGCAGGATGGGCTGATGTTTGAGTTGTTGGGGTATTCAGTTAGTGATCCATTTTCCGAAGAAGATGATACACCGATTGTGCTTCGTTCTTATCAAACTCAACAATTTTTATTGACTGTGATGCATCTTAAAGGTTCCACGTCAAAAATAAATGTCGTAGGGATCAATGAAGTGGAGATGATTACATAGGAAATACAAATCATTTACAATATTTGTGTGCGATTCATAATTTTGCATGACTAATAATTCATATCTAGTCTAGATCATAATTTTGATAGCATGACCTTTTGCAGGATCTGCTTCGTACTGGTGGAACCGCGATTCCTAAATCTGTGCATGAGGTCATAGCACAATTAACTTGCCACCTTTCTTGGTGCGATGATAGGTAAATAAACATTTGTCACTTTTACTAGCAAAAGAAGGAAAGTTCAAAGTGCACCTCTTGATTTCAAAATTTTTAATATTATTTAGGACTCAATCTTTTCTTGCGGTTTTTTTTTATTTGTAATAAAAAATTGCACGCAAAGTTTTTTTTTTTTTGGTAAGAAAAGTTTGCCCTCAAGGAATTTTTTTTTGTAAGAAAATTTGCATCCGAGGCTTTTTTTTAATACCTGTCTTTAACTTTTCACCTTTATACCAAACTTAACTTTTCATATTTTAAAAGTGTAAACTTACAAATGGTATAAATAATAGATTTAATTTTATAAATTTAAGATGAAATTCTCTCGGTTATTTGTATTATTGACCATTCATATGCGATTTGGATAGATGGAATGAATATCTTTGTCAGATAAACCATTACCTTATAATAATAACCAACTTATCATAGCCACAGGCAATCCTAGATTGTAATGCTAAGCCTACATATTAAACCAATTGAAGTGCTAACTCAAATTATATGGAATTACAATGCATATATCAATTTGAGGGATAGATAATTGGAGTTAATAATTACTTAACTCAAGATTCAAGTGTTCAAATATGATTCAATGTGTTAAAAGATCAGAAGGGTCCAAGTATTTACGAAGCACATTAAAATCCACATTCCTTTATATATTTGGAGTGATTCTTGGAAACCACATTCCTTTATATATTTAAAATCCACCTCTTTGTTACACATCAGAAGGTAAAAGAATCTTTCTAGAAGTTGTTAACATAGATTGGTGTAAACTAAAGATAATCAACATATAATATTCACATACATAATTGAAGAAAATAATTCATAAACCCATGCTAGTAATGATAAAGAACACTAGCTTTTTCTTTATTTTGATAGGCTTAAGTGATTGCATTATCAGCTTTACTTTTTATTTTCTTTAGCTGCATTATAGCATATGATGTTTACCATAACCAGCTTCTTATGATTTAATGGATTCACTGGGAGTGACATTTGTTCTCGCTGGGAGTAACATTTATTCTCATCGAGGCTGCCATTTTGCATGACTTTTTGGGCATCTTACCTATCCATTCTTTAATAGAAAAGTTCTGTAGTTTTATAGCTAATTTTAACTTCTACAGGTATTGTCATTATTCTGAATTTGTATTCTTTTCTGATGTGCTTTTTGTTTGATTTTTTAGGATATTTCGCAAGTTTATTTTTGATGCTGCTAATGAAATCGAGTTGAAGTTTTTGAACTGGTACATTCATCAACTTTAATGATATTGATGTCGTTCAAAAAAATATTTAATGCTACCTTTTATTAAATTATAGTCTATATTTGATTGTGATGCTATATATATTTATGTATTATTGGGCAGGAGAACTTATGAGGATCTAAATCTACTCAGTATAATATTAAATCAGGAAATCAAAAGGTTGTATTTGGCAGGAGAACTTATGAGGATCCACATCCAATCAATATAATTTTAAATCAGGACATCAAAATGTTGGCAATGAAGGTACATTTGTTTCTTTTTAGTCATTAATGTTTTGACAGGTTCTTTTACTCGGGGCTTGCTTTGGGGTATGATGAGGCAAGATTGCCTCAGAACATGGAGTTTGTTTATAGAGTAGAGGGTGTGCTTGTCCAATTATTACTTTTGGAGTGAAGAATTATTAAGCAGAGTTGTGCAAAGCATTTTCATTTTAGTGCGTACACGTTGAGGCAAAACATTCTTAATGGACTTTATAAATGCGATCATGAAAATTTTCTAGGAACGCACAATATGCCTCATTGATTCAGTTGCTTGCTGGTTCATTTAAATTTCAGTTCCAATGAAATAGATAATGTTGCCAATTCACAAGGTAAAGGTCACAATTGAAGCTGATGCAACACATGCAATAGAGTCAGTCACATGCAACATTCATATAATGAGGACTTTTACTTGATTTATTTAAATTAGTTTTGAATATTCTCTATTAAAAGGATTTGTTACGTAAACTATTGAAATATTACAAATAACTCTCCAAATCTCAATTTTCCATATCGTTTTGGCAGGTTATTAGAGTTCAATGGTCATTACATGCAAGGAAAGAAATTGTCTTTGGTCTTCGACATCACTTGAGGGGATCTGCCACAAAAAGTTTACTGAAAGAAATTCAAAATACTACAAATGAAATGCTACAAGAGCAGGAAGCTGTTCGTGGACGACTCTTCACCATTCAAGACGTCATTCAAAGCACAGTTCGTGCATGTTTGGAGGTATTTATGAACATACAATCATGTTTTAGCTTCTATAGCTTTAATAGCCCACATTCTTTATAGTTCTATGAATCTTTTTCTATCAGGATAAAAGTCTGAGAATTACTGATAATGGCTGGATCATAGGGGTTTGTGGGCTGCTTGTTTCCATAATAGTTGGCTTTTTTGGGATCAATCTGGATGGAATCCCTGGCACCAAGAACTCTCCCGATGCATTTGCATTGTTTTGTGTATTTATCCTCTTTATTGGAATATTATTAATTTATTTTAGCATGCTCTTTTTTGGGCTGAAGAAGCCCGATATTGAAGAGCAGGTCAATGCTAGAAAGCTTGAGCTACAACAGCTGTTTTCCATGTTTAAACGTGATGTAGAGGCACATGTGAAGGTTAGGGAGGGTGTCTCCAGGACTCGGACATGTTAAATGATGTTGACTTCCTTTTATATTTAGGGCTTTTTGTTATGCCTTTCAAGTAACGATCATATTTCTATATTCATTCGTTTTTGTGGCTCTAATATTTATATCATAGGTAAAATTTTGTTATTTGTTCATAAGGCTTATATTCTTTGAATTCAAATTTGCTTATAATTCTAAATCGATTCATAGTTTGAAATGTTGTTTGGAATTATAGATTAAAATTGTATGCTCGATCATAATGAAATGAATGGTTATATACAGGCTCAAGATTATATAATAAGCTTAATTTTTTTTCCTATCATCTGAAATTTGATATGAGCTAAATGAAATGCAAATTCCCTTTCAAAATATAAAACCCAACCATTCTTCAGTTTATGGAAAAATTTCGGTTCAGTTATTTGGATTGTACTTTATTTGATGATATTTCCTCAAAGATACTATGCATTTCTTATGAGTTAATAAAGAGAAGCAAGTGGAGTTTACTGAAAGCAGTTAATAGAATATTTGTTTCTTCTGTTATTATAGGATTTCTCTTACTCTATGCCTGCTTGCATCTTTATGGATTAAGAAGGAATTTCATTATGGATGGAGTTGAGAATGAGTATAGTATACTATTGATGGTTTTTGGCATCTTCTTGTATTGTTTCAATGATTGATTTAAAATGTTACTTAAAATGCCGGATAAGCTAAAATTGATCATGAGATTCATATTTTCTAGAATTTTCAGAAGTATTTTCCTCATGGAATTGGGGTTTTAATTTCCTGATGCTGAAATGACTAAGATGCATGCACTTTATCCGTCATGGCTGGTTTATTTGCTATTATTGCTTGTTGGCGTATTTCCCTTACTTAATGTTATGCTCTAGTGTGGTGTTTGCTTTCATGCCTAGGTCTTTATTTGAAAGGTTTGACCGTGGAATGTTTGTGTGCAAAAAATTGGAATCACTTGTAGGTGTAAAACTTATAAATTGAGCTGACTACCAAGATTTACAAGTCAGAATGAAAATTTTCCGGGCTGCATTTTTGTACACATTATGTTGTCTAGCGTTGAAATGATCATTCCTGAAATTTTTAATGGTTGTGAGTTTTTGAGAGCTGAACTGGATGCATAAATGTCACAATTATTGTTTGTAAAAGTTGAACTTGATGTAAATTATGTTATCTTGATTTGATATCAAAAGTTGTTGATAACTCAATTTCTTTTTTTGCTATATGAAATTTTAACAAAATACTAAAGTGAAAGCTCTATTTAGGCAATAAAAAAGCTGATATGTTTTATTTGTCAAGTTTTATGTAGTCGTTTTTGATAAATATGTTGAATAAATTTAATATACTGTCATTTCATATGTTGTGCATGGATTGTTCAATAAACTTGAAGCCTTATTTAAGGCTATTAAAAAGTTAGATTTTTATAAATAGACTGGATGGATAAAGTATTTAATTTATTTTGTTCTATGCATTTATAGTTTAATTAAGTGAGTTTTAGTTAAGCCACCTTCTAAGCTTTTTATTATTTCAACAATATTTTGGATTCAGGGAAGATTAAATCTAATTTAATATTATCTTTACTTTGTTGTTGTGAATCGACTTAACTGCTGAAGAGAAACCTTTCTTTAGCGATCTTGTTGACCTAATTTTTTATTTTTGTGAAGTTTTATGTTTATTGTTTTTTTTCAAAAATATGTTAAAAAATTTAATAAGATCTCATTTCACATGTTGAGTATGAACTTTTCACTGGAGTAGAAGCCTTATTTAAAGCTTTGAGAAAGTTAATATGTCTGTTAGATTTCTTCATAAATATATTGAATATATAAAGTATTAAAGTATTTGATCTATTTTGTTGTTGTGCATTTATAGTTTGATGAAGAGAGTTTTATTTAGGCCATTATCTGAGCTTTTATTCTTTTTTAATGAAATTTTAGCTTGAATCTTTATAAAAAATATTGAGAAAATTCAATAAATTGGTATTTTACATGCTGTCTTTGGTTTGATAACTAAAGCAAATACCTTATTAAGGCTCTGAGAAAATTAATATATAATAATTCTTTTAAATTACATTAGGTTCCTTCATCAATATTTTTGATTTAAGGAGGTCTAAATCTAATTTAAGATTCAAATTGTTATGTTTTGACTTAAATCCTAAAGATAAACCTTCCTTCGGGAATCTAGCTGACCTAACATGTTATTTTATTGAATTTTATGTTTACTTTTCCAAAAATATGTTGAAAAAAATTTAATTTGTTCTCATTTTAAATGGTGTAGAAGTAGGTCCCTTATTTAAGGCTGTGATAAAGCTAAATATGGTACTAATGTAAAATTGTGTTAGATTACTTCATAAATAAATTTGATATATAAATTATTTAATATATTTCTTGTTGAGCATTTACAATTTGATAAGTGAGAGTTTTTTTTAGGCAATTATTTGAGCTTTTATGTTTTCTTAATGAAGTTGTCGGTTGACTCTCTTTCGAAAAATATTGAGAAAATTTAAAAAATTGTCAATTAATATGCCGTGTACGGATTGATAACTGAAGCAAAATACTTATTTAAAGTTTTAAGAAAGGTGATATATAATGATTATGTCATATTATGTTAAGTTTCTTCAAAAATATTTTGGATTTGTGGAGAATTAAATCTAATTTTAGATTAACTTTATTTTTTTGTCATGCAATGATTATTTACTGAAGTTAAGTGTATTATTTGATTTACTTTTCTTTCTTGATATGCAAGGTTTCTTTGCTGAATTGAAAGTTTTATATATGTACCAACACATATTTTCTGCTATTTTTATGAAGTTTTAGGTTGAAATCTTTAAGGAAAATGTTGAAAAATCATCAAGGAAAATGTTGAAAAAATTCAATATTTAGCTTTTTTACATGTGTATGGATTGATCACTATAATTGAAGCAAGATTTATGGCTTAGTCAAAATCTGAAATGTGGTGATAATGTAAAGTTTGGTCGATAAAAATAGTCAAACCTTTTTTAGGAAAGCCTTCTGAGCTGTTACATGATCTTCCTGAAGTTTCATTATACATGCTTTGTAGGGATTTATTATTGAATTACATTCCTTAATTATGGGGAAGGCTGATACCTGGAAATTATGGCAATTTAGGTTAGAGTTGTTCCCAATATTTTTTATTTATGGAAGATTAAGTGTATTATAGGATTTACTTTACTTTCTTGATGTAAAATGTTTGTTTCTAAAGTGTAACATTTATTTAATGCACTAGCACATATTATCTGTTACTTTCATGAAGTTTTAGGTTGGCCTTATTCAGAAAAATATTAACAACATTCAATATTTTGTCATTTTATATGTTGCTGTGTATGATTTGATTACTAAAGTGAAAGCATGACTTTTGGCTTTGTGAAAGTTGAAATGTGGCCATAATGTAGTTTAAAAGGATTCAAGCATTGGACTGGGACCACTGAGCTATGTACAAAGTACTCAGAAGTCCAGCTTCTAGAATGTTCTAAGATGATGGTGGATTTCCACCAGAAGACTGGGAAAAGAAAGCTTACTGGGGTCCATAAGAAATATAGCCCATTCAAGTTTGGATGAGCAGCAAAGTATGAACCTGCTCTCTTCTTGTTGGATATGAGGAACTAACTGAAAGGAAAGCTTTGCTCTCTTCTTGTTGGATAAAAAGAACTAGCTGAAAGGAAAGCTCTAATCTTCTTTTTTTTCGGAGCTAAAACAGGTTTGGAGAGAGATGGGGGAGTGATTTTATATCTTTTTTTGCAACTTAAGTTGCATGCAATGTGAGTTGCAGTTGTGCTAAGTTGCATGCAATGATTAACAAACATCATTTGAAAATACCTGAATTGTGTTTTAATTCTTATTATTTTTCTTAATTATACTAAATTGATGTACCTATAAATTCAATTTTACCAATCATTAAAAGTACATTAATACTGAAAAATACTCCATAATATCAAATACCATAAGAAAATACATGTAAATTGCCAAGATAATAAATAAATAAGCATCAAATATGTATAAGTGAGACAAATAAGATACGAATGACCACAAAATAGCCAGACTAGTACAGCCTTAATTTTGAATGATAACTCACTACAATCAATTAATTTATTTAATTTCTATGTTTTAAGATTATATATTTATACACATACCGCACAAATCTTGTGCATTTACATAACTAATACTGCAAGTTTGCATTTATTACACATTAGCCTTAAAAACCTATGTTATGTAGAACAAAACAGAAGGAGCAACAGATCATCAGAAACTTGTTATTTACAAATCAGCCACCTTCTTCCTTTCATTTTGCAAATTCTCGCTCAATTATCAAAATTCATGGTAAAAACCTAACTAATATTTTATATTTTTATTAAATTCTCAATATTTTGATGGTGGCACACGTAAATAAATTGATTCGATAGTTCAAAAAACTCGTCAGATAGCTTAAGTTGTAAATATCAATATTTCGGGGAGTTTGTATGTAATTATCTCAAAATATAAAAACTACAACTATCATAATAGATATTAGTAAAAAGTGGAGGGAAAAAACTCTTAATACTCTTTAAAATTCTAATTAGATAGTTGATGCTTACAGAAACATAAAATACAAGGCTGGGGGAGGGGGGGGATTCATTCGACACTGGTTTGGCAATAGGTTCTCTTTTGTTAGCATGCTCTGGAGATATTTGTCTTTTCCTACCAAAATCAGATTCATTAGTAAACAACAACCATAAGCAACTTAAATTATGAAATAATAATAATATATATATATACATATATATATATAT